ATCCATCCATCCATCCATCCATCCATCCATCCATCTATCTATCTAGCGATCTAGCGATCTAGCAATCAAAGTAGATTTTAAAGTATTTTTTTTAAACTAGCACAGATGCCAATATTTCAGTCTAATTTACAGACATGAGCAGCAACCATCTGGAAGCAAAAAAAGAAGGGTTTTATACTCTCCAAGGGGAAAGGAAGAGCTCTCCAGGGCTTTAAAAATGAGATTTACATCATGCTGCAAAAGCTCACTGTCAAATTGTATTCATACAGTACAATGTTAGCTGGCAGTCTGTGATAACAAGAGGGAATCAGACACAGAGCACAAGCTTGGTCTGAAAAGCACTGCCTGCGCACTGCCTCCACATGAACTGGGAGAAGGAAAAAATGAATTAAAAGCTTTCCTCTTTGTTGGCAAAGACATCCACAGCTGTTGAAGCTCTTAAACTGCTGCCTGTGTTAGAGAGGAGGGAGGAGGGGTTGCAACCTGTACAAAAGCAAATAAGCAAATAATAGAATATGCAGACTGTGAATTCTACCAAAGGAGAGGAACGAGCAGATTCTGGTTCCATGGTCTGCTGTGTAATTCCACAGCATTACAAGTTAAATCTACTAAAACATGTAAGATGACAACATATGTAATGATTAAATGACATGATCAGTCTATATTACTGTGTAATCATCTAATCGGTGGGTTATTATGTGATCTCAGACACTGCTGTGATCTTACTCATGTCCAGTTGTGCCTGAACAATGTCAAATGTCAATTATACAAAATATAATTTGATTGATGGATTTAAAACCCTATTTGCTAATCTTAAAATAGCCTACAGTGAAGTGTATGTTGAAATAGGTACACACGTTGAATGAACAAGTTAAAAAAAATTACCTACAGTGTTGTAAATTACACACAGTGAAGTAAATTAAATAATTTTACTACTATAAGATTACTGAAAGTTCATTCATTCTAATAAGTCTTTATTACTGTAAGCTGCTCCACAACACGTTATTTTAGACAAAGTTATGTATTGCTATAGTCTTCTGCCTACTTTTGGGGGATCATGTAGCACCTTAAAATCAGTAATTTTTTGAAAAGGTCAGAGTACAAATGATTAGTGCGACTGTGTCACGTTACAAACAGTACTATCAGTCTGACTGACAGATAATGTTTTTTTTCAAGCACTTAGAAAGACAAGATCCAAATTTGGTGCAAGGTTGTTGATTATGATATTTTTAAGGAGGTAATGGGATTTATTTATTTAGAACCCTGATAAAAGGAGATTGTGAAGTGAGTGTGTCTGTGCAGATGTAGGTTAGGTAAAACTTGTAAAGCCACGTCTCTGAGCTCTGAATTCTCACTGCTTAGCTAAGCCAGGGAAATAAGTACAACACAAAGAACACCATCCCCACAGTGAAACATGTTGATGATTAAGAAAAATAGTATGTTCTGTATGAAAACACAAACGAAATTTTTTTATTTTTTTTTAATTAATGAAACGGCTTTAATTGTGAGTAACCTTGTTGGTAATTTTCATCTCAAATTATTTAACATAAAGAACACAATTCAAATGGCTCTACCCATAATACATGACAAAGACATGTCTCAAATGAGTACGACGTTGCTAATTATCTCAAAATAAACAGTGATTATTTCACATTAATATAACAAATGTTTTCTCCTGTTGTTTAAAGCAGAAGCTGTCAAGATCGGTGTGAATTCAGAGAGCGAGAGAGAGAGAGAGAGAGAGAGAGAGAGAGAATTTCCGGTGTCTCTGACCAATCACTGGGTTCCACATGCGGACACTGAACACCGCATTCGACGTACGCGAGATCTGCAGCGGACGAACGCGATTGGTGCCGAAGAGGACGCTGCTGGTGATTCTGCAATACACAGCAGGCGAACCCATTGATAGGAGCCGAGGTTGCCACTCGGACACATGCTTTAAAACAAGCCCGTTGGCAATTAAACAGGTTTTGTCCGCTTTTTGCGATTTAACAGAACGAGAGGACGCCGAAGGATCATAGAGAGACAGCGATGTGTGTATGAATTATGCGCTAAAAGTCTCGCGGTAAAAGACAGCCGAGCACAGCCGGTGAATTCAAGCGAGGTTAGCTTGCGTTAGCCTGTTAGCTTCCTTTAGCTCAGAAGCCGCTAATGAATTGACTGTCCACAGTCCATTTTATCTGAATTTTAGCTGCCTTCCTGTCAACGCGGTATTAATTAGTGTTTCGGCTTTGACACAGAAGAAAAACGGGACCGCAACGGGTTGAAGTTGGTTGGCAGCAGTAGCGGGGCTAACGGAGAAGCGGTGTCCTCAAGTGGCCGTCAACCATGGACAACGCACACACAAAGACTGTGGAAGAAGTTTACAACTTTTTTAACGTAAATGAAAGCACGGGCCTGAGTTCAGAGCAGGTGAAGAAGCAGCGAGAGCAATTTGGCCCGAACGGTAAGACAGTGATTTACGTCAGTATGTTGTGGAACAAGTGTGTGTTTAGCTCTACTCATTTGTATAAATGCACGGGCCACGGCTAACCGGCTTCTAACGTGCTGAGGAGAGAGAGAGAGAGACGGAGAGTAAAGGGTGCTGACGTCATGACCTGTGTTGAAATGTTGGATATAAAGCGGCTGGACTATGAATCTGTCAGAAGATATCGCGATGTTTTCGAAATTTACAATGCAAAAAGTCACCTCGGTGTTAAGTCACAACATGGGAAGTCCTAACGTTTTTCTCAAATTGTAGCTATTTTTATACTTCCCTATTAAGAATAATGATGAGCTATACATTAAGAAAATGTGTTTAAATGCTTTTACATTGAAAAAATGTGGGAGACGGAGAAGCCCTGAAATAAAACAAGAAGTGTTCCATAGGTAACTGAATGAGAAAGTGTATGGGCAAATGTGACTATTCAATGCTCGAGTAATTAATTGGTTTATTGAACATTTTCCAGGTCTTTAGAGGTCTTTGTTAAAATTCTTAGTCTTTGATGATTTGATCTCTTTCAGAAAAAGAATAGGTAACAAACATCAAAAGGAAACAACGCACTTAACAAAGGGGGAGTGTGTGAGTCGCACTCTGTCGATGTGTGTAACCACGCTTTTATTTGACATCTCAATAGCTTGTCACAGACTGTCTAATTTTGTGATTGGCCAATTTTTCTCCAAATTGTATTTAAGAAATTTGTCTACAACAATTCATCAAGTGTCATTATCTGTTACTCATACCAATTCTTATTTCCAAGAAATATTTAGACATGCTTATGAAAAAAGATAATTTACATTTCTTTAATATCGTGTCCTGACTTTTACTTACATGTGTGTCTCCTCCTTTTTGGCTGTTGGTTGAATGACACCATCTGCAGGACTTCCTGCTGGGGTGGGTGGGTGAGTAACATTCTATCAAGAGTTATTTAATGTCACTTGTTCAGATCTCTTGTTCCTATTGCTATTTTTATGATTATTTATTTATTGATGTTGCAAACATTTGCATGTGTTTAAATAAAAAATACTTTGTCCGGCAGGAAAATCTCTTTGGAAACTGGTGATTGAACAGTTTGAGGACTTACTAGTGAGAATTCTTCTGCTTGCTGCCTGCATATCCTTTGTAAGTACTATACACAAGTCACTTTAAATACACCTGAATAACTTGTTTAGTTTTATATAAAGATGTTAGTACATGTCTGTTTTTTGCCTTCCCTTTATTAAAGCATAACCTGAAAGAATGTTACGAATTCTTTGTTGAAGTAGAAAATCATTTGAATTTTGCTAAAAAACAAAAAAATTGGAACCATAATCGGCCTCAGTGCATTTGTTAAAACATAGATTTCGATCTGTACTAACCTTTGTGCTTCCACTACTTCCCCCTTTTCTTCTTATGTGCACGATGGCAGACTTAATTCTAATAAACCAGTATTATAACTCATTCATTAAAAAAACAAAAACTAAAAGTAAAAAGTACCATAAAATCTCCACACACATCCCTCTTCTGATTTGTTTTGATAAATGTATCAAAATAGGCCAAATTCTGTCACTACGTTACGGGGGTGTACAGCTCCACAAGTCACCCATTTAACTATGTTCATGACTTTCTGCACTAAATGAAGTGTAGTTACTTTCCTTTTTGTACAATTTGTTTTTATTGTGTTCCTCTTAGTCATATCTTGATTAGGTCTGAATCATTGTATTAGCACTGTGGTAGAAAAAAGTAATTCCTCAGAACAAGCATGTACAATCCTGTTAGAACACAATACTCAGGGTGGAGTGTGAAAAAGGCAACAACAACAACAAAAAAACTTCTGCCAGTTCAACAATATCTCAGCTCCTCTCTAACTATCTTTCTTTTCACCCTCATAGCTCAGCTAAGTTTTTTTTTCATCTCATCTTTCTAGTTCTTCATTTAATCCATCTAGTTCTGAAATGTTGTAAAAACTTTGTCGAGTTGTTTTCTGGTTACTACAGTCCAAAATTTCTGAATGAATTACTCCTTTACAATGGAAGAAAAGAAGCCAAAAATATTTTGTTGAATAACAATATTAAAGAAAAGCACATTTTTTGCTCTTGTTCCAGTTCTGTGAGGTTCTACTAGTGAGGTTTTTTTCTTTAGGCAGGCCATTGCCATTCTGCTATTGTTATGAAGCTTCAAATCATTATCTGTAGTAGGCAGCATGCTCAGTCAAACAAGCTCGTTCATTAAATTGACATTTACTTCTCAGTGACATTATTATTTCCACTGCGAACATACGTATGTGCAATCATTTGTTGAAATTCCATCCAGAAACAAATGGGTGCAGCTCATGTCACCCTGTCTGATAGATAATTTAACGTTGACATTTTATTGGCTGTGATTAAATGGGTTGAATTAGAAAATAGGATGCGACGGTTGTGTGGTGCGATTTCTTTCTGGCACAGATTCCCAAAGAGGAGTGGTTATTATGTCATCAGTCTTTCTGGCATGAATTTCTAGTTCACTGGGGCCAGTTCCTGGATTAATGTCAGACCCGGCCTTTATAGTTCTAATGGACGTTTAAGTGATTGTAAGGTGATACTGTGCCAAATATGTAGAGGGAACAGTGTTCAGTCAAAACGTCACATACGTGTGCGAACTAGAAGCACTATTTCAATGAGTCACAGGCCCTGTTTACATAGCTGCTTTACGGTATGACTGCAGTTATCTCCGGATACAGGGCCGATGAGCAACTGAATATGGCTCCAGTCCCTGTAGTGCATATGTCAGTCCTGTATGTGGCGCTGTGTGAACCATGCTCTAACAAACTAACACCGGAAGAATTAGTAGCAGTCGTACAGAAAAACAGAAAAGAAGCCACAGAGCATGTGCATAAAGCTTGCGAACTGTAAATAAACTCAAAAAACACAAAGGCGTAGAGTTAACTTTACCATGATGTAGACATTGCAGTCCAGACTGGAAAATAAACATATACAGTATAAATTAATGTTGAAGAAGCCTTGACCTTTCAGTGTTGTATTTGCTTGGTTAAAAGGAATGACATCTTGATGACAAAGATTATTTGTTAACCGTTTATTGCTTATTATGTTTTGTTTTTTTACCCTTGGGAAACAAACCCTAATGCGTTATCTTCTCTAAACACCTTTTTGTTGTGGTGATTCTACAAATGTTCTTATTTTTGATTGTCTGTGTATTGAACCAAAGTTTCCTCTGGTCATGACTGCTGTGCCCACTGTAATAACAGATTTAACAGTTAATGTCTTCTCTGTCTGTTGTTTTTAGGCCCTGGCCTGGTTGGAAGAAGGAGAGGAAACCGTTACAGCCTTTGTGGAGCCTTTTGTTATCCTTCTTATTCTCATAGCAAATGCCATTGTAGGAGTGTGGCAGGTAAACACACCCTCCTTTTACAGAGTAACACCGCTGTTTTAATTTGCTTGCATCCTTATGTCAAAAAAGATTAATGGCCTGGAAACAAATGCATAAAAGAGCAGCTTATTACTTTTTAGCCTCAGAAGACTGCAGTCCAATCATATTTTTAACATTGAGGTCATGGGATTAGGCACGCACCTTCTCCTGGAGACATGCTTCAAATGATCTGCTCCACTTCTTCACTGCATATTTTCTGAATCCTCTGATTTTAAAACTCCTTTTTGGAGAAAATCCAGTATTTACATTTAAACTGAACAGAAAACCATTTGGGCAGTTGTGAAAGAAACTGTAATAATGCCTGTTGATCAGCCCTTTTCACTGGAATGATATTTTTAGAATAAATTGTCAACACCTTAATTATAATCATGAGTCAAATGCAGTATCCGGCAAATAAAATGGACACATTAGATAATCAGTCAGATAGTCAGCATCAGGATGTGTCAGGCTGACACATTTTGCAGGAACTTCAGTACTGCAGTATTTTGTGGAAATAAAGTTGCACCAGAAATATAGGTCGCAGTACTGCTTTTAAATATAATATATTGTAATATGTACATATTGTGTCGAGAGGCAGGGCAGTAGGAAGTAATAAACCGAGGAACTCTCTTTCCGAAGTAAGTTTTCTGTTATTGGGTAATATATGTTGTGAAACTTCTATTGATAGTATGCAGATTCACAGCTCTACCCACACATCTGACCGAATACAAGGCTATACAGGTTATTTTCCTACTTAAGGTTGTGAAAATGAGGTATAAGCCATGGCTTTGTTTCAGTGTAATACAATTTATTTGACATTTCCTTATTTGTAACAGTTTTGTATTAAATTTTATTCAGTTTCTCACTTATATAATTTTTTTCTTGTTGTCTGTAATCGTGTGATCCTGATCCTCAACAGCTTGGATCAGATACTTTTCCGCTCGCAACCTAGGTCAAAAGTACACATCTTTTACTACTAGTGTCCTGTAGGATTAATGACTACTGATGTCATTTGTTGAAGATACCACTGTGGTTTTATTGATGTGGTTGAATGGCTCAGTGCTCAGTGGTCTTGTAAATGCAGTGTTGTAAAGTGGCCGATTGTTTGCGTTGCTCTGGCTCTAAAGTGTGTCCTGGGGGCTGGGTTTATGACTTGAACTGGTCAAGAAATTGATGTAAAAACAGATGTAATGTTTTCTATTTTAAAAAAACAAGATTCCTATGTAATCCTGCTCTACTGTATTAGCAGTCATGCTTTGAAAATTGTAAATGTTTGTGTACTGCTGGATCCTCTACACACTCGTTTGAGAGCCCTGTTTTCAGAGGTGGTGTCTGTGACATTATCTTAAAATGGTAATTAGCCACGGGAGGGGTGGGGGGGCTTCAACCAGTTCCATCATCATGGCAATTGTTGAGTGTGATAGAAATGGCAGCAGTAGATGGTCAAACACAACATTGCACATGCATATGAATATGCATATTTTTTTGTTTTGGTAACTATATCAGTTTTTTAGGAATTGTAGTGTTTTAGATAGAGCTTAGTGGAGTTTTGAAGAAAACTCTGGCAGTGTCAGCAAATGTCTCATCTACAAAACATTTGGGAAACTATTGATATGTTTTTAAAAATGTCAACCAATCTCGTGTTTGCAGAGTGTATTTGGTGTTCATTTAGCTCTGTACTTAATGACCTGCTGTGCGTAGCTATGAGTTGTATGTGATAGTCTGACGGTCATGTACAAGTAAAGTTGTACAAGTAAAACAAATAGTGTTGAAAGTAGTAGATGATGCCGTATAAGTTAAGCTACCCAGTGGAGGGGGTGGGATTTAAGTAAAAAGGGTTTAGTCAAAGTTGTTGAAATGGCAAACGCTTTACATATGAAAATGTGTACCAAAATTCCAAAATGTCCCTCTTCATATACAGCTCACAGATGGACAGCTTTTTTCATGTGCAAGAAACAGTTTTAAATGTAACTCAATCATATATCTACCCAACAGGAACGAAATGCAGAAAATGCCATAGAAGCACTGAAGGAGTATGAACCAGAGATGGGGAAAGTGTACCGGCAGGACAGAAAGAGTGCCCAGAGAATTAAAGCTCGGGACATCGTGCCTGGGGACATCGTTGAGGTGGCAGGTAAGAGAAAAAAAATGCAGAGGCCCCGTCTCCTCTGATAGAATCTCTTCAGATATCCTCTCTCTCACTCTCTTCCCCCTCCCCCCAGTTGTTGAAATCTTGGCTGGAGTGACACAGTGGAACTAGACAAACCCCATGACAAATTAAAAGAAACTGTAATTATTGTTTGTGCCAAGTATAATAATGTTGTGCATCAGGCAGATGCTATTCATAGACCTACTCATTAATTCTGTATTCTGCGTACTCTATGACATACTCTTCAACCTGTCTAAACATAGGCACACAGCTGATCGCTTTTCCTGTTTATCTCCCTTGACAATTTCACAGTTGTTACAGCACTGAATTTGGACTGCAGTTAAGCAACACAAAGGCAGAGGTCCAGTGCCCTCCTGACCCCTGTTTTTGGCTGACCTTATCTTTAACTGGGCCACATGCCACGTGTTTCAGCCTTTTTTGCGTCATCGCTCCTCGTCTCCTGTGATTTCACTATCTAACTGGCACTGCAGCTTTCACCGTGTCTTCTGTTGTTGATGATCCACTTTTGATTTTCACTCCAACTGCGTGTGTGCTTGGTGATATGACGGGTTGAATCCCTGCATGAGCGATGTGACTACTAGTATTCATTCATGGTGGTAGTGGTACCCTTTTAGAAAGAGAATATGAAAGAACAACTTGATAATTTAAAAAATAATGTAAAATAATTATAATGCTTTAAGTGTGACTGATACATTTTTAGAGAAGGTTGCAGTAGGGTACAGATTGAAGTCCATTTGAAATGTAAAATCTGATTTTTGTTTTTGTAACAAGAAGTCATTAAGCTCCACAGGCTTTATGACGTTACAAAGACTGGGAAAATGCTTGAAATGCCTGTATCGCTACGCCAAATCATTTTTGGATCATTGCTTTATGCTTGCTTGTCAACAATGAAGAGAAGTGAAGGAAAGTGAACTACTTGTCATTGTGACACAGCTCACCACTGCACACAACCAAATGTGACCTCTGCTTTTAACCCATCACCAAAATGAACAGTGGGCAGCTTTAGGGGGAGGTGTGTGTGGAGACAGTGTTTTTGTCCATTGTTCGCAAACCTCTCTGTTGAAGATCAGGGAAGAGATGCCTGGTTTGATGTCATGGTGCAACGCTTCATTCGCATCACACTAATCAATTCAAATGGGCCACCTGATATTGAATCCTGTGTTGTTGCGTCATTTACATTGATTGTGTATATAGAGTTGCCACTCAGTTCCCCACCATCACCTTTGGTGTGAGTGCCCCATGAGGATCACTGCTGCAGGTTTATACTGATAACCTTGAGATTTCTGATTTATCAGGTAAACTACAAAGCCATTGCATGCTATAACAAGATGGTCTCAGGAATTGAAAGGGGGATGATTTCTTAGGCATATTCTAGCCTGAATATGTGTGATAAGTTGGTTGACAAGTTGCCAAGGAAACGAGCATTGACAGTATTGCAGTTTTTTTATTATTACTGTTTTTGAAAGCCCGTTACTCACTGATTCTGAATCAAGATGCAGATAAACTGGGGGTCACAGGAGCGATGATCAGAGATGTTGAGCAGAGCTGCTGTTATCGTGCATCTCAACCAGTGAGAGTATCCAGGGCAGGGCTTGGGCTCTGGCTGCACTGCCATGTTCAGAAGAAATGGCACCAAACTCTCACGTTAAACATTTTCCTTTTAAATATTGTTCCAATGCTTGAGTTGAAATATTTGCAGTATAACACCACTAAGTATAATGTTTATGAAGTACACACTGATGCAAAATACTTTACTTATTTAAAGCATTTGCAAATCAAAAGTAGGCTACATGTTTAGAGTGTTTGCTTTCTATAATGATATGTTTGGTTTTTTTTTTCAAGATTTTGTGCATTGTCAACCAACAACTTTATGTCAATGCAGTGCAAAAATCTTGAAAAACGATGTTGGTGTTTATTATTATTTCTTAGTTACTATTTTGGTCTTTTGCAGGTGCACAGTTTTAAATTAAGTGACATTATGTACAGTGTCACATCATCAGTGTTCATCAAAAGACACCAGATATTAAGTCTGTCTTCTGTGGGCCTTAAGAGACCCTTCACCCACTTGTCATTGTAAACATTCTAAATGAATTTGTATCAGAATCAAACAAATAGTTATTACGTTTGGTTTAGTGTCTGGACCTAATTATGTGCCCATTATGTGGTTCCTCTGGGAATCGAACCAAGGACTCTGCTGGCAAGACAGGTGTTCTAACTGCTACACAGTGGAACTGCTAATTTTCTGTGAAAGGCTTGGCTGCAGAATGCTAATGCCACAGTGGGCGTATTGTTTATATTCTTATTGTTGAGGTAGATCCCTGAGATTGTCTTAGTCCTGAGCTCACATAAACGGCAAGACAGTCGTAAGTCAGGTTTGTTTAAACACTCCTGTCTCAGTGACATCAGCTTCCCTTTTGTGATGTGATTTCTCTACTGTTTTTTTCCAAACATATTTTCATGATTTGAGCTCTGAAACTCATGATGGCTCTACATACAAAAAATAGTAAAAAGAAATTATAATAGTAATAAAAATTAAAGTTCTTGGGAATTTAAGTCTTATATTGCATGTCAGCCCAATAAGTAGAATTCTAAAAAATTCATGGAACACATTTTTTCTACTAAAATCACCTGTGTTATTACTGGCTTCATAACTCATTCATCTGTTCTCTCTCACAGCAATATTTCTGTTATGGGTTACTGTTAATTCAAAACCTAGAGAACATAGAATATGGATTGCAGTAGATACAAGTTACTTTTATAATGCTTTTTAAAAATGCAGTGATCCATTCTAATGCAATAGTTACAATCTCTGGTAACAAGTTACTTTCAAAATGCTATTATTACTTTCTTCAATGACGAGCTACTTCTTAAACAGTGGGTCACTAGATACATTAATGATGCAATAGTTAATCCCTTCTGCAACAATACAGTGGGTAACAAATTACTTTTGAGATGCAGAAGTTACTTTCTCCAGTAACATTTTACTTTCATAATGCAATGTTACTACCATCTTTAAAACATTACCTTTAAAATACAGTGGGTAACAAGTGACTTTTTAGAGCTGTTAGCCCTAGCTGTTAGCAGCTTTAGAACAAAATGTCTAGAATAAGCATCACAGATAAACCCAAGGCCCTGTGTTGATAAGGCTGTGGTGTCTTCTCTTTAACATTTGTTCTGCACTCAAGGAAACTGATAAGGCTGACGAACAACTTTGTTCACATGAGACACAGACAGGTCTCGTGTCGCAGAGACTGTCCAGGTTCTGTCAGGAGAGTCGTGGCTAAACAGAGTTGGAGACCAAAGGGAATGATAATGGCTGTATATTTTTTTGCTAACAGTTGTGTGTTGTGCTGCTCTGTGTTTTAGTAATGATCACTAATTAGAGATGTGTTTCTGTGTAACATTTTGGTAGAGTTTCTAATTAGTGCCTGCTTTGAGGAGTCCATCCCACAGGATCTCCAGTCCTCATTAATTCTAGTTCTTCTCCTCCCTTCACTCGTGCTACACTTGCTCGGCTCCTTCACTATCTTCCTCTGTGCTGGGAGGGTGGAAGGAGGACAGACAGGTGATGATGAAATGGTCGTGACAGCCTGTCTTTAAACTGAAAGACCAAACTTGGACGTGTAGCTAGTACAGTCCAGTGAAAGCAGCGCTGATCTTCAATCTCTTCACTGGCACAGGCTACAGTAATGAAAGAAGTATTTTTTTATAGTGAAAGACTCTGAATTAACACAGTGGTATTTTGTGATGCTTGCACATATTTTGGGGATTTCATTACAAAATAATATTTCATGCAATATTAGCATAAAGCGCTCCATACATCTTAAACCAATAGCATCAAGTCAGCCCTCCTTGTTGTAGCCACTTTGAACCCCGGCTGCTCTCAACCCTAGAAACTACATCACAAAGTGATTAAAATAGTTTTCCCATTTTTGGACCTGTGTTTTGCTGTACTCATCTAATCCCTCTCCACATCTGTAGTACCCCTCTCCCTCTCTTCTCCCTCCCTTCTCCTTTGCCCCTCACCTCCTCCCCTCTTCTCTCAGAGGGGCACTACAGGAACCCACTGCTTAGTTTACATGCCTGTCAACAACCTCAACTGTCCAAACACAGGGCTTTTAAGAGCCACTCTGTCACGAACTCATATTGCTTTTACTTTCTCTGAGCTGTGTGACGTCTCACTGTGAGCTCAGTCTGGTCTCATTTCATTGTGACACTTTTTCCTGTTATTTTGTTAAAAAATGTCATCTCTCTCTGGGAAGATAGTATTGAACAGGGGAAAAAATGATAAGTTTCCGCTCAACCAAAAATCATTTTTTCTATTTTTAATGATAAAGTAGGCCATGTTAGGATTAGTGTCACAGACAGAGGATTAGTTTATGTTAACAGATTAACATAGAGTTGTTTTTGTGCAAAAACTGTATGTTAATGAAAATCAAATGTAAGAAATGCATAGAAAATGTTCTAAAATATAATCTATAAATAAGATGTACTTAATGACAAGTATGTACAGCAGCAAGTGTAGAAGTGATGTGTAGCTCATTTAAAAATGTTCTCTAAAAACAATGTGAACCAGAACATCGCACAGATAAGAAAATTGCAAAAATGTAGATTTAAAGAAAATTCTGAGTATATGTTGTATTTCATTACATTTATATAGGACGTTGTTTAAAACCTGGTTCAAATCTAAACTCCACACTGAGGTGGTGTAAAGTCTGAGCAGATATTTCTTGGAGCTCTCCAGGTAGAAAATTAATTAGTTTTCATCCTATTTTGTTGTTCCCATTACGGCACTAACTAAATTGTCTGTGCACTGTGATCTGTATTAATTTTTTATCTTCCAGCAGTTTCTCTCTATTATTCAGTGCTTTAGTCCCAGAGCCAGTTTTTGCATGTGGGATATTGACTTGACTCGTTAAAATGTCTCTATTGCATCTGTTATTATACTGTTATATGTGTTCTTGCAACTCCAACCTGACAACACTTAGCGATCAGAGGAATGTCTTTAAGAAAAGGGAGCAGAACTAAATGTCTTATTTGATTGGTTCTTTCTGTCCGCAGTTGGTGATAAGGTGCCTGCAGACATCAGGCTGACTTCCATCAACTCCACCACACTGAGGGTAGATCAGTCAATCCTCACAGGTAAGACCCCTTTTATTTCAGTTTGTTTACATGCTCTCTGACCTTGATTTTAATTCTCAGTTTATGTACACCCCTAATAAAAACTTCAATTTTTCGTATGTATTTTCAAATATTTGAAACGCAGGGTATGAAAAACTGCGCCCTTGTCACTACTAATTTGGTTATTGCTCCGTGGCACTCCTCATTCATCTTTTCCCCTCTGTGCTAAATTACCTGATCTTTTATGGCTTACTGTCTTTATCCCTCCTCAACCAGGCTATAAATTACTCCTGACTGGGAGAATTGGCTGTGGCTCTAAGAGCAAACGCATAAAACACTTAACAGTGCTCGAAATCAATGTTTTGTATCCTGGTAGATCCGAATCGAATTCCTAATTTGGTTGAAAAGACTGAGTTTAATAGAAAATAAGTATATATAAGTATGGTAGTTGATTGATAAGATGCCAGAGTCATTTGTGTGATTTAAGGTCTTCAGAACTTGCTTTAAGGTTCTGCCTCAGTTGGTACCATATTCCAGGAGATGTTTTGAGATTTTTGGTTGTTTTCCTTTTTTTTTTCCTCCATTCATGGATATATTTCCTGTCAAATGTTTGTGCCTCACTTGTTAGGAATAGTTCATTTGAACCGTTTACTGCACAAACACACATCATGGAAACATCCAGTCAGAGAAGTCAGATATGGTGAATTAAACGCCGCCGCAATCATTGGATGATTGTAATGTGGACCAGTCGGCTCTATATTTCCATCAACACATCAGCCCAAAGTGTTAATGAAGTGTGACGACCACCACCACTGCTGACAGATGAAAACCACCTGCTGGTCCACCTGATGACAGATCTTTTGTGTTTCCTTCTTTAAGGGGAGTCTGTGTCGGTGATCAAACACACCGACCCGGTGCCTGACCCTCGCGCTGTCAACCAGGACAAGAAGAACATGCTCTTTTCTGTGAGTGTCTTTTTTTTTGTCTTTAATAGCCTTGTTCTCCACTTCACATCTTCTCTGTGAGTCTGACAATGTCCTCTGTGATCATCCTGCATTGTTACATTAGAAGAATAACTAATAATCCCTGTCATTACGACCCGTTCCATCTGACACACGATTGACATGTGGAGAAAAAAAACAAATGGTGTCTAAGTAAACAGTCATGTGCAGTGACGATGTTTGAAACGCTAGCATTGCTTTATATTTTCTTTAATAATTTTATTTCAGGGCACCAACATCGCAGCTGGTAAGGCAGTTGGTGTGGTGGTGGCCACAGGGGGCAACACAGAGATCGGCAAAATTCGAGATGAGATGGCGTCCACAGAGCAGGAGCGCACGCCTCTACAGCAGAAGCTGGATGAATTTGGACAACAACTGTCAAAGGTTTGCATTGAAATATGTTCATCTAAAAAAATGTTATTACTTATTTTTAACTTATTTTCTAAAGATTTTGAAGAATTAGTGGCGCTTTGGCCCAGAGGCAATGTCTCTGTCATTGGTGTGGAACCCCAGGGTTCACCTCCTGGGCAAGTTCGAATCCCGGTTAGGGCGGTTAATACCTTCCAGTGGACTCACCACCCGCAGGAAGGTTTGGTACGGTGCAATGTGATTTGGGTGGCGACTGCTGCCCCCGCGACCCGGTAACGGATAAGCGGATGAAAATGGATGGATGGATGGATTTTGAAGAATTAAACCTCCCACTCTTTTCATCCAAGGTCATCACATTGATCTGCATCGCAGTGTGGATCATTAATATTGGACATTTCAATGATCCCGTCCACGGAGGCTCTTGGTTCCACGGTGCCGTCTACTACTTCAAGATTGCTGTGGCTCTGGCAGTGGCTGCTATTCCTGAAGGTATTATTACCAGCGTTACATCATCATTTAGAATGATAACAGCAGTGCTGCAAACTGTCATAAAGTGAGAAAGATTTTTGGATTTGTTTTTCCTTGAATGAAAAATATTGATCTAATCTTTATTTTATTGTCTTCCTGTGAGCTGATGACGTATAACATTTCTTTGTCCCCTCAGGTCTGCCCGCTGTCATCACCACCTGCCTCGCGTTAGGAACCCGACGCATGGCGAAGAAGAACGCCATCGTCCGCAGTCTGCCCTCTGTGGAGACCCTGGGCTGTACGTCCGTCATCTGCTCGGACAAGACCGGCACACTCACCACCAATCAGATGTCTGTGTGCAGGGTAAGTAAACCACTTGGAAGAGTGATGCATTTATTAAAGCCCCAACATTTCAGCTTTATATTCTGCACTGAACTCTCATACGGCAAACCAGGTCAAACCAGGTCTTTAAAATGCTGTCCTAGAATTTTCCTGGAATTAGATTATTAGAAATAAAACTGGTATTGCAGTATATCACAATATCATTGCCCCTGTGTTGTGATGCATATCATACTGCCAGATTCTTGCCAATACACACCCCGACTGTTATTGTTGTATTAAATAGTAGTTTATAACCTTTTATTAACATTCTTCACGTTCAATACTGTGCAGATGCTCGTCATGCCAGAATATTTCATCACAGGTTAAAAGGCTAAAAAGGCAGAGCCCTAGTAGCAGTACTGTGGGCAGTAGTAGTACCAGCATCTTTGAGTATTTTTACAGCAGGGACTTTGGTCTAAATCTGAATCCCACAGATGCAGTTTGTCCCAAAACTGCACCTGCTGGAAACTTCAAAATGTACAAAAGGTAAATAGATGAGAAGACTATTAGTGGTGTTCCTTCTTTTTTTTACCTAAACAAAAAAGTTCCCAAGAAGGGATTCCTTTACATATTTGTGAACAGTTTCAAGTCAGTTCAACCAAATGAAAATGGTGCTCTGAGGAGCAGTGTCCAATGAATTTGTCATCTTCAACTGTAAAATCAATTCATAAACCGGTGTCCATACATGGACATGCAGCAGAGGCCTGGCTGTTTTTCCAGACGTGAGAACTTTCCAAGTTCAAACAGTGACGTCCTGGTGCTGAAGATAGAACTCGTAATGGTCACAGACTCAGACAGTGACCAATAACATAATGATGGCAGAGTCAGAAATGAAATCAACATGTTTTCACTCATTTTCCCCACTAGACCTGACCAATAAAAACACCTGTCCTTCCTGCTGGTCTTGACCCAATTACCAGTTGCAGCCTTTTTTTTGCCCTTCATCTGTGTCCTGTTCTTCATCCCTTAATGGTCTTTTCTTAATTCTCCCTCCTCCTCATCTTCTTCCTCTCTGTCTCTCTGCCCTCATCTTTTCACTCTCCTCCCCCCTTTTCTCCAGACAGCCTGCTGATCAGTATGCAGTAGTTAGTCACTTGCAGCAGAACCAGCAGTAGAGTTGCATAACTGACCTTGCTGTTACGGATTTCCTCCATGCTGTCTATCTTCCATCTCTCTGCCTGTTTGTCCCTTTATTTTTAACCTGCATTATATTAATTGACAGGCTTTATTTGGGCAATCATTTTGTGACCCCTCACCCCTCCCCTCCACACTCGTCCCTGGTCCAAATAGACTCCAGAACATGTTTTGAAATGAAACCACTGAAAACCTCAATTCAATATCTGACGAGCAGCGTTGTGCGTCACACTGCTTATGACACGTCTTGCCGGTGCCTGATGGGAGTGCAGCTGCAGTGCAGATCATCATTCTGTTCAGAAGTTTCTATTTTTATCTCTCGTGTGTCTTTGTCGTGACCCACACGGTTTTAATCAAATGCAGGGGCTTGAAGGTATGAATGGCCAAGAATGACTGAGTGCATACAGCACCTTGACTTGTCCTCTAATCCCAGGATGTCTGCTTTTTCACGAACTAACACTGAACCAGGCTTATATTTGATATATATAAAAAAAACATACTTGGTCATATATATTTAATTGTTACCCTTAAGCTCCGTAATTAATCACTGCAGTTTTGTGAAACCAAGGTCAAACAGTTTCCCAGTTGAAATGATTCACTTCGGTACAAAGCTCTTTCATTGTGAACTCTCTGGTGTCTGCTGTCGCTGCACGGTGACATTTATGGCCTCTCCCCACCGGAGCGGTTCGTCTCTGCTTTGGATCATCGCTTCATTGCTAAAACCTGCCATTGTTCAGCTGGACTCTTTAGGTTTCCTTTCTGCAGGTGCCAGTCGGCTGCCACCTGCTGGACCATAATTCCTATTACATCTAGCTTAGAGTTTTTTGTCTTTGTTTTCGGTTCCGTTGTCTCCAATGGTAGTGCGTGTGCGTGAACTTGTGTGCTGCTGTTACAGTTGCTCCTGACTTCGAACACTTGCCTATTTTTTTTACTTTTAGGCTTTTCTTATTTTATTTCTATTTCAATCTACTTTACTCAATTTTTCTACAATTCTGTCCAGTTTCTCACAGGGGATCAATAAATGTTTTTGTCACTTTACAGTTTTATTATAGTGAACAGCAAAACAAAGATGTAAATTAAGTACCTTAAATTATATAGGACTCTAAATAAAAACAACTTAAGGATTTTCAACACTGCTGTAAAAATATAAAAATCAAACTTTTGTTCTAATTGGTTGTTGGATTTTTTAATTACTTTAAAGTTGTCAGATGTGTAATGAATTGCCTGTACATTTGCTCTTTTCAGATGTTTATTATTGACCGTGCAGAAGGTGAACAGTGTTCCCTGAAGGAGTTCACCGTCACAGGCTCCACGTATGCCCCAGATGGAGAAGTGTGAGTAGTCAATCAAAATTGAGTATTTATTATCTGTAAACTGTGTTTCAGGAGCTTCAGGAGCTCATGTTAAAGATTGTTTTTAATGTACGGCTCTGTTCTTTTCCATAGGTACCAGGGTGGTAAACCAGTCAGATGTTCCCAGTACGATGCTCTGGTGGAGCTGGCCTCCATCTGTGCCCTCTGTAACGATTCATCGTTGGACTATAACGAGGTGAGTTTTCAATTATTAGGTGGTACACAATTCTTGGGATATTTTTCCAGACCTAGAGTCTATGGTTGATGGTTTTTTGTTCCGTGTAGACCAAAGGTGTATATGAGAAGGTTGGCGAGGCCACGGAAACAGCTCTCACGTGCTTGGTTGAAAAGATGAACGTGTTTGATACAAACGTTAAAGGCCTGTCTAAGATTGAGCGAGCCAACGCCTGTAATTCAGTAAGTTGTTTTTATTACACTGGGTAGCATTTGAGCTTCTTTGTTTACCCTTCTGTTTGTTCAATGGAAGGAAGTCCGTGACTCACATTTGCACTTGTTTTGCTGTACTTTTAGGTGATTAAGCAGCTGATGAAGAAGGAGTTTACCTTGGAATTTTCCAGAGACCGGAAGTCCATGTCCGTGTACTGCACACCCAACAAGGCTCGTTCTTCTGTTGGAAAGATGTTTGTAAAGGTAGGGTTTTTTTTTTCTCCAAAGATCAGTCCTTAATCAATTTTGACAGTGAAAATTTCTGTTACACAATGTTATGTAATAGGTTGTTTTTTTTAACATAAAAGCAGCACTTGTTTTGCAGATTTTTCTGTCCTCCCACCCACCAGTAATCACTGCTTGTATTTAAATTCAATACTCCTCTGAACTTGATTTCAAATACTCTAACAAAACTCATATTTTTATTGATATTTTAAATTTAAATTTTAAATAATTTGCCTGCTCCCTCACTTTGAGAACCACCGTCATGACTAAACATGCATAAACTATCAAAATCAATAACTGGTGAAGAGTTATTTTTCCTGTGTTTTTTCTTTTAAAACTGCCCTTGGTTCACTGAACAAAGTTGTCATCAGTTTTCAACTTTACTCACCTAAGGCTGCGAGAACTATTAGTCCTTACAGAAGCAATTATAATGAATAATTAATGACTTTTTTTCCCCGTGTCTTTAATTTTTCCTTTCTCCTGATGTCAGGGTGCTCCTGAAGGAGTCATCGACCGGTGCACACACATCCGCGTAGGCAACAACAAGGTACCGTTGACCAAAGGCATCAAAGAAAAACTCATGTCCGTGATCAGAGAATACGGCACCGGCCGAGACACTCTGCGCTGTCTGGCTCTGGCTACTCGTGACAACCCACAGAGCAAAGAAGAACTAGCGTTGGAGGACTCTACACGCTTCATCGAGTATGAGGTTAGAGTTGAGACATTTATGTTGTCGTCTCACTTATGGTTCCTACTGTCAAATGTCTTGAGCCTTTTTTTTTCATCTTTTTTCCCCCACAGACTGATCTGACATTTGTGGGCTGCGTGGGAATGTTGGATCCTCCCAGAGCAGAGGTGGCAGCTTCCATTAGACTCTGCCGTCTCGCTGGCATCCGAGTAATTATGATCACCGGAGACAACAAGGGTGTGTAGAAAGGACAACTAACAAAACACTATGTACAGGATTCTTTAAAAACCTGGAAAATTAATTTTCAGTCCTTTAAAACATGGGAGATGAGATGAAAGACGTAAAATGTCTTGCTCACTTAAGCTGTTTAAAAATAATTTCTCCTCCTCGCTTCTCCCTGCAGTGTCAGTAAATGCAATATGCATTTAAACTCTTGTGCATTCATGTCTGTCATCGCCCTGTCTTCATGGGCCATGTTGAAGCACTTTGCTTCACTGCTTCCAGCTAGTGCAGTGCTCCATGTGAAGCTACTAAGTAATTAAATTTGCATGTCACCTGAGAGCAGTAATTTAGTTTCCAGCTTCCATTTGACTTTGTTGCTCAATTTATTGACTTCTCTGACATTGTGCAGGGCTGAGGATTGTGCAGGAGTGAAACAAAAGCAAAGCACAACTGTAGAAAAAAAACACTGTTTAACACATTAAAAGAAAAGAAGGATTTGTTTTAATGTATAATGAATATTTCCTGGAAAGGATTTGGAAAGAACTTTCTAGAAAAGATCGGTGGACCTTCATGTGTTGTAATGTCTTTGTCCTATGTTGCAGGAACGGCGGTGGCCATCTGCAGACGCATCGGCATTTTTGGCGAGGACGATGACGTGTCCAGCATGGCCTTCACTGGCAGAGAGTTTGACGACCTGTCACCTGCTGCACAGAGAGACGCTGTGGTCAAGGCCCGCTGCTTTGCTCGTGTGGAGCCTTCACATAAATCTAAAATTGTGGAGTACCTGCAGTCATATGATGAGATCACAGCCATGGTGAGGAAACGGTCCACACTCTAGACATGTCACAAATATTACAAACAAGGTTATAATTATGCTGCTCTTTCTGTTCTTTTTCCCGTCAGACTGGTGACGGAGTGAACGATGCTCCTGCTCTGAAGAAGGCTGAGATCGGCATCGCCATGGGCTCGGGGACAGCCGTGGCAAAGACCGCCTCTGAGATGGTGCTGGCCGATGACAACTTTGCCACCATTGTGGCTGCAGTGGAGGAAGGCAGGGCCATTTATAACAACATGAAACAGTTCATCAGATACCTGATTTCTTCAAATGTTGGAGAAGTCGTTTGGTAAATACAATAAGTTTGTTTAAACACACACACACACACACACTTTTCTGCAGTCACTGTTCCTCATCTCGTTGCTTCTTCTGTGTTTCTAGCATCTTCCTGACTGCAGCTGTGGGTTTCCCTGAAGCTCTCATTCCTGTTCAGCTGCTGTGGGTCAACCTGGTTACTGATGGTTTACCTGCCACCGCCCTCGGCTTCAACCCACCTGACTTGGACATTATGAACAAACCCCCACGAAATGCCCGGGAGGCTCTCATCTCTGGATGGCTCTTCTTCAGATACCTGGCAATTGGATGTAAGGAATCATGTTCAAGTAGGAGTATCTAGTGCTGTGTAAGGCACAATTACAGTGTTTTAAATAAGGTTCAGTGGAGTTGAAGATCTGAATGTGAATCTAACAGGATCTGGTTTATTACTTGTAGGAACAAGTTAATTTCTTTACTTGTTTAACACTCATTTCTTTATCTGTTTTTCAGACTCAGTTGTCACTGTATGTGCATGTGTTCATATATTTTTGTTCTGCTTCACCAGGTTATGTGGGTGCTGCTACTGTCGGTGCTGCAGCTTGGTGGTTTGTTGCTGCTGAGGATGGACCAAGGATCACCTTCTACCAACTGGTATGAACAGCTAGTAACTGAATACTGAGACTATGTAGAGAAGAAAGTTGTAATAACTCTTTTAATCGGTTCACTTTTTGTTTAAACCAAAGTTGATATGACTGAGTCATTGTTTTAATTTCTACAGTGTTTATATGACTGAGTCATTATTTTTATTTTTTACAGAGCCACTTCCTCCAGTGTGGTCCTGAGAATCCTGACTTCCAGGGTTTGGACTGTAAGGTGTTTGAGTCTCCTTACCCCATGACCATGGCTCTGTCTGTGCTGGTCACCATAGAGATGTGCAATGCCCTAAACAGGTGAGCATATTACAGGCTAATACTGTGAACATCACAGACTGCTGTCTCCATCCACTGACCAGTGTTTCTCTGACCTGTGTTTGTCCTTCCATCAGCGTGTCCGAGAACCAGTCCCTGCTCCGGATGCCTCCCTGGGAGAACGTGTGGCTCCTGGGAGCCATTTGTCTCTCTATGTCTCTCCACTTCCTCATTCTCTACGTGGAGCCACTGCCTGTAAGAAAATATTTCTTCTCAGTTGGACACAAATAGCAAGGTCATGACTGCATGAATCCTAATTCTTCCGTTGCCCCGGGGACTACGTCCAACCCTGAAGAGCCATGGGATATTTCCAAGAATCACAGAATCAGATTAAACTAATGTTACTGTCTGAGAGCAAACAATGTTTGTCATGTTGCTTAGCTACGCTGACAACAACAGAACATGTTTGCTCTCAATTAGACATAATCTGAACCGGGCCTCTGTTGTCCTGATAAACTGAAAATGCTTCCTGGCAGTATTTTTTCTTAGTTTTATTTTGTCTGATTAATGGATACTGAAATAGTCCCACTGGGCCACACTTTTGCTCCATGGCACTCCTCAGCCATCTTTCCCCTCTTTATCAGAAAACAGTGTTTCAAGCTTCACTACTTCATCGTTCCTACCATGTCTGATCCCCATTGAAGTACTAAAAATACCTGTTGAAGGCCCCGAGTATGGTATCACGGTGTTGTGACTCCTCTCTTTTATCCTGCTTTTTCAGATGATATTCCAGATCACCCCACTGAATCTGACACAGTGGCTGATGGTGCTCAAGATCTCCCTGCCCGTCATCCTGTTGGACGAGGTTCTGAAGTTCGCTGCCAGGAACTACCTGGAGCCCGGTAAAGAGCTGGAGAAGTCCACCAGCTGCAAAGGCTGCCCCCTGTCTGCATGCATGGAGGGCATTTCCTGGCCCTTCGTGGCCGTTTCCCTCCCCCTAGTCCTCTGGATCTACAGCACCGACACTAACATGGCCGACATGTTCTGGTCCTGACTGACCTGAGCACACCCTCACCCACCCCACCTCCTTTACCTCCATCACATCACTCTCCTTCCCCTGCTCCTCCTCCTCCTCCCTCTTGTCCCCTCCATGTGCATAGCTAGTCTGTGTACGCATGTTTGCGATTGTAGTCGACGAGTGCTTGTGTGTGACGACCAACTCTAACGCGTGAAACGTAACAAGATCCTGTCAACTGTTCACACTAGAAACCAAGCAGCGGTGTGAGTTAGGCTGGAGTTTGGAGTGTGTGAGGCTTTAAATGTGTGTTTGACGAACATCCCTTCTGCAGCTGTGGACTTTGTTTCAATGATTTGGAAGGAAATATTCTGTTGCCATTTTTTTTGTTTTTTTTGTCAAAGCTTCCTTCTAAGGTTGATATTTTTAATGATTTAGGGAAAATCGTTTGTCACTACGAGAACCAACAGTAGTTTCTTTGCTTAGAGTCCCTTTTCAAGGATGAAAGGAAAAATTTACCGATATCAGAAAATTTGTTGATCTGTACAGAGAATGAACACTATTTTATGCTTTTTTTTTTCTTTTTTTTAAATGGCTTTGTAAAAATCATTTGACCAGTGTGGCTTAGACCTTCCACCTTGATTTATCATTTTTTTCCCTGACGTTTTTACCATTGTGTCTTCAGTATAAACTCAGAACTCTTACAGAGAAGATGGCCTTCATGTGGCAGACGAGGATGGGGAAAGGTTTGGGTGTGAACGCCCCAGGAAAACAATAATCCTGAAAAGCAACAGCAGCATGCCCTCACGTGACCAAGCATGAACTGTACATGGTTTTCTCATATCTAATTTAATTATGTTTGTCTCCCTCCCACCCTCATTCATTAGTATAAATTAACTTCATGGACGTTACTTTATTTCCTTTTTAATACAAAAACATTTTCAAAATAAGCCAGTTCTTCTGCACTGGGCAGAGCACAGCTACCTCAATATGGAAATGTATTATTTTTGCTCATTTTTAAATGCTATCTTTCAGTGATCTCGCAAAAGTGTAACATCTTGAGGTGTGCCCCGAATCGCTTGTGCAGAAAACCCCAAGAACTAGATATTCCTTTAGTCGAACACTTTTAAAAATAATACTATGGACTATTCGCATTTTTTTTATGTCATTAACTTTATTTGTTGCTTTGCATCAGAGAGACAGAACTGAATGGGGAAGACGTATAACAGTCGCATCTCCAAGTTGTTTGATTCAAAGGACAATAATGTTTAAGTGGTGAGAAAATACTAAAACAAATACTCCAATACTACAAATGAAGTTGGAATGCAAATATGAACCCAGATATGTTTTGGTTTTTTTTTTTACATAAAGGAAAAATACACTCAAACCCTTTGAATCAAAGTGTTTTCTGTCTTTATTTAATACGGTTGAGTATTAGAGCATTCAGTTTTTTTGTTACTGTTCATATTATAATTGGAATGCTGATAATTTCAGACAATAATGCTTGAGTCTTTGTGACACAGAGAGAGACAGGAAATCTGCTGTGGCTTTGACCGAGGCTTTAATACAGACGGTGACTTTTGTGCTGGGTTGTTAAACTGTGTGAAAGTAATGTGTACTTGTTGGATCAGAGCCCATATGATCTACTGCACTAATCCCAACATTTTTGGTATGGATATTCTGAAGAGTGAGAACCCCTCCCCCATCTCGTCTAAAGCATGTTTGTTTGGGTTGGTAAAAGCCTGGGTTTGTTCGCACTGTGTGTTTCACTTAACAACTGTGTGCTTTCTTCTTCAATGCCTTCCTTTGGCCCCCCTGTCACTTGAGTGAGTATTAAATCATTTTTTCTTTTTTTTTTTTACTATCTCAAATGCAGTACACAGCCATAACCAACATCCCAAATGTAATTAAAAAAATAAGCAAAACGTTTTACATAATGGTTTATGGGTCCAAAAATATCTTTTGACTTTTTTTTAACTAGATAGGCTCAAGCTCATCAACTGACTCAGAAATTGTCAATGTTTATCCAAAAATCAATGAATGCAGCAATGGTTTGGCCAAAAATATAGAATAAAGAGACTTTTAGAAAAATTAGTCAAAATGTATCCTAGCTTGCAAGTAGATGTTAGCCAAGTGAAAGCTGATTCACGTGAACTGTTCCCCCAAATTAGCCCGACAAAAATAAACCACCCATTATTATATAAAAGTAACTATCTGGTAAAAAAAACAACAACAAAAACTAGCTATTAGCTGACGATGAGGCTTAAAATAACGAGTTTAGCCAAAGATTGAGCAGAAGGTAGATAAACTTGTCAAGAAAGGTAAAAATGTTTGCCATGCTAATGTGCTAATGTTGATGTTGTCAATTTAGCTGAAATGGTGACCAAGTTCACAGAGCAATGATAGCTAAATGCTAATACATAAGCTATAATTAGGTAAACAACTAACAACTAAACAATGAGAAAAGATAGATTATCCAAGAAAATAATGGGAAAGGGTCCTAAAATAGTCCTGATTTCTTATTTCTTAAGTACGGTCAAATAAAAAAAATTTGACCCTACTAAAGTTTAGATTGTAACCTGCCATTTAACCAGAACATAGCATCTAGCTTAGTTGTGGCTAATTAAATGGTTAGTGTTTCTGTCAAAAAGACAGGGACGAGCGATTGGATGTCCAAAAATATTTTATTTAGGCAGGAAGTCAGGCCCTGCTCCAGTGTTTGTTGTTAAGAATCACACATGGTCTGTTGACTACATGTTTATCACTATGAATGTTGCTGCCCTGTTCTCACCACTTTGACACCTGCTTATGTCCACACACTTCTTTAAAAAAACAACACCAATATACGCATGGTTACACAATGTGGAGTGTGTTTTTCAGTTTGACCTTTTGAAGGTGATAAAGTTCTTTCTCTCTCTCTCTTTTTCAGGTTGGCTTTCATAAAAACTTTCACAAAACATAGGATCGGATTTAGAGGCTGGAGTCGGCCTGCCTTCCAGCGTATGTGTTCACTCTCAGTTCACACACACATCCTACTTCATGATGACCAGCAGTGTGTGTGTGTTGTTGCACCAATAAATACAGGACAAGGTTTTGCAGTAAATAGGATCAGACACATAAAGGCTAGGACATTTAAAACAAAACACCAGGCACTGCAGCACAACACAAACACACTCCTTAAACACACTTATACCTCTGTGTGCAGACGCTAGTATATGTCCATACAACACTGTTCCAGTTTTGTGTGCAGGGAAGGTCTCAATCACCCGTTCTCCGACGTTCCCTCTTGCATGTAGAGTTAGTTTTCCGACTTCCCTGTGGTGTAGAGACCCCGGGATTCAACCCCGTCTTAGCTGTACATCTGTGTACAAAAGGTCATGCATGCCTTCCTGCTGTACGTAGGCTTTGCGATTTGTAATTTATAGAATCTAATGTATAAAATTCCGATGGCATTCAAATGGTTCCTATTGTGGTTCTAGTGTAGATCTAAGAGGCGGGGCCTGGGGTGGTGGGGTGGGTCACTGTTTTTACTGTAATGGTTGGGGTGATTTGCACAACATTAGGTGACGAGGAAAGCCTCGCACTGAACTTGACTGTACTTAACTTTGAGTTTGTCTTTGAGGGTTTTTTCTTCTTTTTCTGAACTATTTTACCCCCCTTTAACTGCTGTAGACTAGTAACTGCATCATCTACGACATTCTGTCCAATGAGGTTCATGACGTGTTCATTGTTTAACCTGCAATACCACAGTGTTCTCCTCTTTTTACCTCATGGCCTCTGCTTTAACGTCCTGAATTACTCCTGTCATCGTCATACAGTATATCTTTAATAACTGCTGTAAAACTGTGATCTGATGCGGGTGGGGGGCGAGGGAGGGAGGGAGAGAGGGAGGGTTTGGGGGTGGGCGGTAGACTCCCTCAGCATTTCCTGAACAATATAAAATATATGTAAAAAGTCGATCATTATTGGAGATGGATAATGATTGTACATGCATTAATATAAGGTTGTGGTTTCAGGTAAATAAAAATGATAGTATTTAAAGACTGTCAGTGCCTTTATTCTCCAGCAGGGGTCACTAACTATATTTGACCAATGGCCAGACACCCTGAGTGCCGGACATGAAATGAAAATCACATTTTTATCTAACATTATTATTTTAATTAAAGACCACAATATTTGATCTTTGATCTTCCCAATTTTGGAATCAAGTCGCAGCCCGGATTGGATAGTTTGGCAGGCCGGATTGGGCCCACGGGCCGCTAATTGATAATCACTGATCTACACTGAACTGTTGAGTGGAAATATGAAGATCAAAAAAAGACAAAAGAGGCAATGAAAACAACAAACAAAACACCCAGTTGTTGATAAAGAATTACTCAGGGTTATTTTCTGCACCATTGGTCCCTACAGCATTGGACCACTGAGTGATTTGGTACCGACTGTCCTCCTTGGCGAAACTCAACCTGGTACTAAGAGGACTAGGTCCACTAAGTGGAATCAATCCAGAACCTTTTGTAAATCAGGAAGTGGGGAATATAAAACAAAAGACAATTGATTTAAAAAGAAAATGTGACAAAACCATGAAGCACTCCAGTCTGCTCTGCACTAAAATCTAGTGGATTGACCTAAAATAAGTCATTTTGACCGAAACAAAAATCAATGTTCAGTAGCACAGCATAGGATTTAAAAAAAGTTCTAGGTCATTCTTTAGTAATCACATGAAGTTTGAGTTTGGAATTTAGCCACACCTAGCGGTGAAGTAATATGCAGTTGAATATTTCTTACGTCACCGCACGTGGTGGAACAATAATGAAGGAATGACAACAACAACAATTATGACTTAATAGCCATGAAGTCACTAATAACCTTACATATTGTAGTATGCCATTACGTCACCTACTCTTCCACTAGATGGCAGCATTTAGCTGGTGATACGCATACTATCTACATGGTACACAGCGTTGCCACAAATGACTGCAGCAGTGATAATAAAAGAAAAACATATTTAAAATTGTTAGTTAATGAACATGAAGTTTTTGTTGTTTGATATATTTAATAAGATTATTAAATATTAATATTAAATAATATCGTCAATCTCATTACAGGCGTGGAGTAGCCTCCTTTAGAAAAGACCAGTTATTAGATAAAACAACAAGGGAAGTGTTATGACTGACGGTCACCGGAAATTATAAGCAATAGTGTCTGTTGTTTTTATTCACTATTTATTCATTTACATTGCTTGTACTTCATTGCAAGTATGTATTGTGTGACGTCAAAAGAAAAAACGCAAAAAATTCATAAATAATTGTTTTCTCTCGTGTTTTTGCTTCAAAGTACTTTTACACAAAACAACGTTTCCATATGTACTTTTTAATCAAAGAAAACAGTGTAAATATGAGGGAGCGACAAGACAAAGAACATGCTTTGCAGCGGTGACATAAGACATAAGAATGATGGTGAAAATACTGTACCTGCAGCAGTGATGGAAAAAAAGGAAAGCTAAATGAAGCCGTGTGGCCATTTAAAATAAAAAGAAAGGCTGAACGTGTTTGATCAGGTGAGGAGTGACTGTCTCTTTAACCAGCAGGCTCCACTGTCACTCTGGTCCCTCCCTCTCCTGCAGCCCTAGTGGCCGGAGATGAGAGCGGACTCAGCGGCACCATCACTGCCGAACACACGCGAGAAGCACACGGAGAAAAATTATCCTCCACACAACTGGAGCATTTACGCAGCCGTGGAGACAATGGGATAATGGAAGTGTTTCCTCTCCGTGCACACAGGCAGCTCCGCCTCGAACACAGCTGGTGCTAAAGTCAGATGTGGTCGTCGCTCGTGATTTGCGCGTTTTATCCGTTCTCCGTGCGCGCTGCTGGTACAAAGGCGCTCGGTGCCGAGGAGCAGCAGCCGCAGCAGCAGCAGCAGCAGCAGCACGACAGC